CGCCATATACCCTTTAATTCCTCGAATTGTTTAAATTTGTAGATTATTCAGCTCCTAGTGTATAGAATATCTATTTAAAAGCGTTAGAATGTGACAACATCTTAATGGGATATTCTGGATGAAAATTTGTCCAAAAACCGGTCCCGGTTAACCAAAAACCGGGGGTAAATCAAAAACCGGAACCGAAAACCGCGGGTCGAAAACCGGCGATAACCGAAAACCGGGGGTACCGGTTAATAACCGGTAGTGAGCAACCCTATTTTTTAACAATTTATAACAATAATATAAAAATTTTTGTAATTTTTAAAAATTAAAGGTGAGTTCACGGCGGCAGCGAGACTACACCCAACAGGTTTGGGTGTTATTATGCCAGTGATTTTGGCTCAAAAGACTAAGCAGCATGCTCCCGTTCTAAATGATTTAGTAGGTGATCAATAGCAGGCTTCAAAAGCTTATTAACGGAAAGAATTATAAATTAAAGGGAAAAAACTATTAAAATAAAATAAAAATGTGAACGTTTTTGAGAAAATATGTACATATATAATAACACTAAAACATATAATAACAATAAAAAATGTAATAACACTGTAATTCACTAAAAAATGCAGAATAAAAGCAGAATAAATCGATGGCAAGGCACAACCTTTGTAATGAAATGGATCAATCACAATGGATAAAACTCAATACAGCAAACAATTAAATGATCACATTTTTGTTTATATACTATAATAACACTTAATACTAAAAAATACTACAAAATTTTTAATAATAAATATATTAACTAAAATTATAATAAAATAATTCAATAATAAACTAATTTTTTTATCAAATAAGTTTGAATATGTGAATTAATAAATTAATTTTGAATTAAAATTAGAATGAAGGAAACTATTACGTTTACTACTAAAGAGCTACTTATAAACTGGATAAGGACTAACTTGATTCTAAAAAAAATCTAATTATAAACAAATGTTCATAATCTGATTTATTCAATATTGCTAAAAAAAATTTATAATAAATTATTTTAAACTTCCTTTTATCGAAATTTCAACACTATATAAAAACAATAAACTTTAAATCATTTTAAATTTCTATTATAATAGAGAAAATTTGAAAAGTGTCTATTTCACATATGTATGAAAAGAATATTTTGAAGAATGCTCATTAATTAATTAATTATTAAAAAAATTTTATTATGATTTATATCTACTTTGTAAAATATTTACTAATTAATTCAAATTATTCTTTAAAATTATAATTGTTTTAATAAAAAAGAATTAAAGTAATTAAATAAAAATTTATATACTACATATTGAAAACTAGATCAAAATACTTAATTAGAAAATGGATTAAGATCGTAAAAATAGGTCAATATTTAATTTTCGTATTAATGAACATATTTGGCAAATCTATTACAAGATAAATAAAACTTTTACCGTAATCTGAAATAAAATGTAAAAGCAATATTTATTATTAAAAATTAAAAAATAAACGTTTGAATTTATATTCGTGCATAAAAATATTTTTTAAATTAGAAGATGGAATAAATCGATTTACATATTAAAAACCATAATTAGCTTTGTATATACTTACAAATTACTGTTTGTATATTAAAAACATAATCATATAAAACAAATTAAGTCTGATAATATCTCAAAAAACATAATATTCTAAAAAATATACAATATAAATTTGTATATTTGAAATAGTCAGAATTCAAAGTCCTTGATAGGGTCAAAAATTATTTTAATTTATGTGCATGATATTAATACTCACAGAAATATAAATCGAACATTAAACATTATAATAAGAATTAATATAGCAAGTTCAATATAGCAAAATAAAAATAAAATGATAATATTAGATTGAACATTTCTGAACTTTCAAATTTAACTTTACTGATTTAATTAGATTTTATAAATTGTTAGCGTCACGCCTTCTTGAAATCGAATTATTCTGACATTTTTTTGGATTTATATTGACTATTAATATTTGAATAATAATGAATAATTATAATATGAATACTAGAGCTGTCCGAGACTCTTGGTCTTGGTCTTGGAACCAAGACTTTTCTTGGTTTTTTTTCGGTCTTGGTCTTGGTCTTGGTCTTGGAGTGTTTGTCTTGGTCTTGTCTTGGTTTTATTTTTTGGTCTTGGTTTTTTGGCCCTTTTGGAACTAGTGCTTGGCCATCCAAAATCCTCAAAATTTTCGCCTGCGGCGCAGAAAATGGAAGAAATCTGGCTTCTTGAGTCCCAAAATTTAAAAAATTTTCGCCTGCGGCGCTGAAAAAGTGAATTTTTTTGGCATACGGCCTTCCAAAATTCTCAAAATTTTTGCCTGCGGCGCAGGAAAAGGAAGATTTTTGGCTTCTCGGCCTTCATAATTCCCAAAGTTTTCGCCTGCGGCGCTGGAAAATGAAGAATTCTGGCTTATTAGCCTTCCAAAATTGTACAAATTTTCGCATGCGCGCAAAAAGATAGGGATAAAATAGAGGATGGATATCAGCAGCCATCATCACCTAATCACCCTGGTCCTCAAATTTCATACTATTCCTTTTGATCCCTCTTAATCCACTTAAATTCCCCTTTAAACCTCGATATCCTCCTTAATCCAAGGGCGTAGCCAGGGGGTCGATTTCGAATGGGGGGGGGGGCTAACGTTGGGTATCGCCAAAATTTTGGCTTTACCTTGGCGTTCCAGACGTAAAATTCCACGACATCCCTCATAATTCACTAAATCCCATGGCAATCCCTATTAATCATTATATCACTAATATCCCGTTAATCCACCCAAATCCTCTGAAATAATAACCTATTTTATTGATTTTCCACACGAATAAATTCCCCGAAATTAGATAATTGTGCTGAAGTTGACTGTGATCGTATCAAAATAACAAAAAATAAACCAAAAATTTGACCTATGGGATTTAAAAATTTGGTCTTGATTTTTGGTCTTGAGTCTTGGAGTTTTGGTCTTGGTCTTGAGTCTTGATCTTGGAAAAAATTTTGTCTTGGGTCTTGAGTCTTGAGTCTTGGAAAAATTTCGGTCTCGGACAGCTCTAATGAATACTATACAAACAAAATATTATTTTTAAAAAATACTTCATATGTTCAGTTTTAAGAATGCGTCTGTCCTATGCGCCATCATCAAAAATGGTGTGCAATTCTTAGAGAATGTCATAAGAGTTTAAAAATAAATATATACAACATAGTCAACAGGGAATTAATTGTAAAAAATTTAATAAAAATACAAAGAACTAACAATAATAAAGCTGTATAGATTATAAAAGTTACTATTTTCATACTATTTTCTATGCATGAAAATACTGCAAAAAATACTATTTTGCATGAAAATACTATTTTCATGCATTCTCAAGAATTCTAATTAAAAATGAAAAAAATAGAAAGATAACTTAAAATTAAAAAGAATTACAGCATTAGAATTAGAAAATTATTAACTATAAAAATTTTTTGAAATTATTAAAAAAATTAATTAGTAATAAAAAAATTAATTGGTAACTACTGAAAAATTTAGGCGCTGAAAGAACTTTTTGTAATGAAATATCGATTACTTATGGGTTTATAAAGATTTAAATCATGCAAGCTTTAGTAAAACCTAATTATTCAATAAAATATGCTTATACTATGTATGTATTGAATAAGTGAAAAATACATATAAATTAGTTGAAATTGACGGAAAGACATTCAAATATAAAACTAAATTAGTCGCTGTATAATCTCATTCAATGAAAAAAGAAAGATTCTTTATTTAATATTTAAAATAAAAATATAGATATTCTAAAAATATTTATATTCAAAAATATAATATAGTAATAATATTATACTTAGTGTTATATCGATTTTGATAATTATTAAAACTATTAATCTAGAGATTTGACAGCTCAGCCGGTGAAAAGCTACAACACGTACTATATTTTTGATTAAATAAATCTTATGCTATAATTTTCCATTATTTTTGAATTAAATAAACATCTAATAAATTTAAAAAAAATTGAAAAGTAAAGTATTAGAAAGTGTAGTAACTGAAAAAATTAAAAAAACGATATAACATTTTCAGATATATCGTCATATATCAATTTTTAAAGAAAATAATTAGAATTCAACAATGATAAAAGTTTTTTAATTATGATTAAATACCCAAAATACGACAAAGCGTTTTATAAAAATTAAAAGAAATACATATTTTGTAGCATCTAAAAGGAATGCCAAAAAATAAATATTAATTTTATGTTGAAATATGAATTTTTTACCTAAGGATGAAATTTTTTAATAAGAACATGTTAAAATATATGACAACTTAAATGTATAGTTTATACTTAATGACTTTATTATATAAAAATTTTGTATGGACAAGAATAAAAAATAAAAAGCTTATTTAAGTACTAGTTGTAATTAAATCGGAGATTTATGCAAGAATTAAACGTCATTTTAAAAAATTAAATTAATAAAATATAACGTTTAAAATAAACAATAGATTATATATTTTTATATCCATTGCTTTTGGATAATCGTCGTAAAGTAAATTTTTACTCATTAACTTTTTTACATTTACCTATTTTATTTATAGAACCGTCCGAAAATAATCGAAATGAAGTTTTGGACTCTACTGCACTAGCATTCATTCATTAAAGCCTTCATTCATTCCTCGTTCTTTTATTTTTAATATAAATTTGATAAATATTAAAAACCTTTGGAAAGATTATTTTAAAAGAATTTAAAATTTCAATTAATCAGTTTGAAATTGCCAACACACACGTAGCTTTGAAACTTCAATTCAGTTCAAGTGGGGGCTCAGCAAAATTGGAAGAAGTCAGTTAAAAATTTCATAGGAAAAATAAAGAAAAAGACTAAAAATTACAAAAATAATTTTAAAAAATAAAAATTAAAAACAATTAAAGACAAAAAAAAGGAAAACAAAAAATAAGAATAATAGAAAAATAAATTTATCTAAAACAAGGATCAGTCAGTTACATAATAAAATTATAAAAAAGTAAAACATGGAAATACAAACATAAAAAACTTTAATAGCAACATGCAATAGAAAAACAAAAAAATTGAAAATAGATTTGGCCATAATACATAAAAAACTGGTAAAATAAATTGTGCATAAAAAATCGAAATGTATGAAAATATCAAAATATCGAGACAAAAATAAAACAATAAGAGATTAAAAAGCAGCATTGATAAAAATTGGCAAAAATAGTTAAAATACTATAAATATGGAAAATATTAAAGATCAAATAATTAACATAAGAAAAAATTATAAAAGATTGGTCTAAAATTCCAAAAATTTAAATGATTAAACTAATGATTTTAGACTTCATTTGCAATATTAAGTGTTTAAGTTCCAATAACAAAATGCCTAATTTAAATTTATAAATCTAGTTTAAATATTTACAAATAATAATTTTTAATTTAAATTTCAAAGACGTATATGATTGATTAAAGAGAATAGATTAGGATGAAGGCACATCTTAGCCGGGCTGTAAGCGGCTTTTATATGCTCAATATAAAAAAATGTCAGCCAATTTTTTGTAAAATATGCAAAAAACAATAGAAAAGGAGTATATATAACATATATATCACCATATGCCCGAAATCGAAATATTTAAATGCGGAACATGCCAGAAAGTAAGAATTAATTAATGGTATAAAAATAATTTAATAAATTTTTAATAAATAGTGTGTTAATAATAAAAATGAGGTGATCAAAAATTGTTTGTGCCTTCATGTGGAATTTGTCCCGCCAATAGATTCACGCCACAATTATTGGAAAAATCTAATGGTAAATTTAAAATTAAATAAATAATATAAAAATTTTTATAAAAAATATTTTTTGATAATTATTTAGCAAATGATATTAATATGCTCGCCTAAAAATTACACGGAACGACTTGAATCGCAAATAAGAAATTTAAACAAAATATTATAATAAAATTAAAATTATTTAAAGGATTTAAATTGGATTGTAAATTGGATTGTCGACTCAGCACCTTTTTCTACCCTATATATGATATATTGACCATTTTGAAAACTTTTTAAAATTTGTAAATGTGTAACCTCATAACAGAAAAGTACCCATTTTTTTAAACAAATTTTAATTATTTAAAATAAATAGTCTAATTAGATTTTATAATATTTTAAAATTATAAATTATTTTTTAAAATTATAAGTAAGGATGATCGTATTGAATTTAAATTTCAGATAAAGTTGATGTTATAAAATTGATACTTGTTTTGAAATTTGAAATGACCAACAGCTTTATACCAAAATTTATTTAAATGTACTGAAATTTAATCTTAATTAAGATTGACGTTGACATTATAGACTGCGTAGATAATGCTGACAATCTGCTTTAATACTCTATACAACATACATATATAATTGGATTTTATATTAGTCGGAATATCTTTCAAGAACTTCTCATCTAAATCTAATAGAGAAAAAAGCTCACAAACTAAATTTGTTGAAAATAAAAAAATTGCAATTATAGATAATATTTGTGCAGATAATTATGTTTTTGTTAAAGTATTTACTAATTCTGATGATTTAAATTTCATTTAGCTGATGGTAACTGCTAAATCAAGTTCTAAGTAAATTATATAAAAGCTAAGAAATTTTATTATCATTTAATTCCCAATAATTATTAACTTCTACAATAGTTAAATTCCATTTATTTTTTCCGTTTCTCTCTCAAGAATTAAATACAATTAATCTTAATTAATTTATCCATTTTACTTTACATTGGTGTAAAATAGATATTTCTACTATAATATATACTTACTATTTAAGAAAATTTAAAAAAAAATTATAAATTGCATTTATTTTCAGATAAAGTTTTTATTTCGTAAACAATATCTTAACCAAAATTAGAATTCATGCAAAAGAAATTAAAATTACAAAAGTTGGTACAATACATACAATTGAAACAATTGCCAAGTTAACCAATATTTGAAAACAGTTGAGATTAAGGACTCTTACAATGGGATAAAGGACACTAATAGTGGGATTAAAAGATTTTGGTGAAACTTGGCTTGAAAACAGTTGAATACAATGCGTAGCTATATTTTGAATTTAGATAAAAATAATAAAATATAATCATGTATTTAAAAAATGTAATTAAAATGCAGTTAAAATTAATTTCTAAATAAATATTTACATTTTTGTTACCCTTTTCTTGCTATTTATTAAAATATTTTAAATGGAATCGCCACATCTATTGCTGGATAATGGAAAGAAACAAATATTATTTTTTAAATACGGCTGTGGTATACAGTCCTCCACATAACTATACGGCCACTTGTATTTTCGACCTTAGGAGTGATGAAGGAATTATATCGGATGATGAAGGAATTATATCTCAATGAAGGAATTATATCGGAACTTCGTTTTTTTGTATTTACTATAGATATCAATAGATATGTTTACAGGAATTTTTCTAGATTTTTCGGACCACTCCTAAGGTCGAAAATACAAGTGGCCGTATAGTTATGTGGAGGTAATTTTGTCAGGTAAAGAGAAAAGTAAGCACATTTTTGGGGTGAAAAATTCGAATATGAAATAATAGCTCATTCGAAAGAGCTCCTCGAGCTGAGTCGATTGACACCAAAATCAACAAAATCCGATTTGATTGGACCGAGATATAGACCCCTAAATACCGAAGATCCAAAGGGGCGATTTTTGGAATAAAAAATTTTTTATACAAATAATACCTCATTCTAAAGAGCTCGGCGAGCTGAGTCGAATGACACCAAAATCACCATGATTGATCAAGATTAAACTAAGTTATGACACAAAAAACAAAAAACCTAAACCTATAAGGCGTAGGCGAGGCGCTTGTGCAAAACCCCGCGCTTCGCGCGGGGTTTTGCGGCACGCGCCTCGCGGGGAGTCTACGGGCGCTGGGTATGGGCTCGTAACATAAACCTATTCCTATCTCCCTTACTCTGGACGTATTTGGGGCATCCGAAGCTACCATTCGACTCAGCTCGCCGAGACGAATCGAATGGTATATATTTCTAATTGGTTTCGAACCGGCCACCGGCTAAAGTACAGCCAAATTATCTTATCATTAATTGATTAGTAAAAAAAATACAAATAATTTATCTCTAATATAAAATTTATAATAACCAATTAATCGTCTGAGATAGTTTTATTATTTTACCATTTTTTCTTTTTAATAATTTACTGTCTTGCTCCTGGACATTTCTTAATTATTAAGATAAGAATTATTAAAGATAAACTACAATTATTAAGATCAAATACAGCTCTTTTTTCATCTTGACACAGCTTAATATGTATATGAACCATCTTTTTATGATGGCTTCCCTTAATTTTAGCCCAGTATTTTCTCTTGGAATTATTTTTTGAGCATTCTCTTATTTTAGTAGTAAAGTCTTCAAATTCTTAAATTTCAATTAAAATAACTAAAAAATATTTTTTTAATAATTAAATATTTACTACTTTATTTTGTAAATGTTTGTTTTTGTTTTTTTAAATGAATTTTTCTCTTTTACATATGTAATCTTCAGTATTCCAAATTTCTATTTTTATCAATTTTCTATTTCTTCAATTAATTCTTTTGCCGATTCGTGTGAAATATATTTTTTATTTCATCAAGTTTTTTAGCTCTAGTCTATTTTTGTAATGTTCGCCAGAGACTGCCAGTCACATGGTGCTTGTAGTCCACATGGACACGAAGTCAAATAATTTATTCTATTTATGCTTATACTTCTTTCCTATTTAATTTAATTGATTACATGATAAATACTTTCATTAAATAAACAAATTAATATATGTTAGAAATTTTGAAAACATTATTTAAACAAATTTATATTTGTATGAGAAGTGACAATAATCTATTTGAATAAACTTTTACAAAAAAAATGAACAAAACAATGTACATTAAACAAAGAGGTATAATAAATTTAATCGCTTTAATATACAAAGTAGAAATACCCATCAAGAAGATAAATCAAAGATTAGAAAATATAAACTTTAATCGTATCTAGTAAGGAAGGCAAAACGTCAATCTCGTATTAACGTAATTTCAACAAATGTAGACAGTTTGTAGACATTTGTTATAATTAAATATGAATGTAAATAAAGAATAAAGTTAAAATAAAATATGGGTACTTTCCTGTTATCGGCCCTCAATTTTTTCTCCCTTTTTTCTCAGACTACTTCTGTACAGAATGGTCAGATTTTCTTTCTTTCTCAAATTCACTCCATTTTCCATTGGCATATTCAAATGAGACATTAATGAAGAAAATTTGAGTAAATCTTAAAGACGCGACGAATACACAGAAAATTGAACGGTTGTGGGGAACTTTCATTTCGTTTGTGGGAATATTAGTAGTTACCCCCCCCCCACAAGGTTGCACTGCGTGCAACCTTATGGAGGAGGAAGTCGGCAAATCAAAGGAAACCAAAAGGTAAAGACACATTTCATATTCCTAACCACCCTTTTTTTACCACCCCTTGGTTGCAGGGCAGTAGTTAACTAGTCCCCTTTCGCTCCACAACCCAAATCGCTCTTCTACCCAAATAGCTCTTCCTTTTTTCAAGGTAGCTACCCAAATCGCTCACTCCTTCATCAATAAAACCTAAGCCTATAGGGGGTATTTTTTGATATTTGCCACAAACACCTTTCTTTGGGAAGTGTTTAGGGGTAATTAATCACGATTAATTAGGGTAATTAATCATTCCATTATTAATTTCCCTTTGGCTGATACTTTGTGGGGAATGAAAAAATAATTTTTGTGACGTTTCATGGTGAGACACATTTTGTTAAAAAATTTGACAATATGAAATTTGACATTTTGAAATATTTTTAGTTTTGATAGAAAAATTTAAAAGGGACTTTCTAATTTAAAAATAAATTTAAAAAATTAAATAAAAATAGTTTTAATTAAATAAAAATGATAAAAAATAAAATTTACAAAATTTTGCATAAAATATAAAATGATTTTAAAAAATGACCGGAAGTACAAATGTAAGGGGTTTATTTCAAAATGCCAAATTTAAAAATTGGCGGGCATTTCAAAATTTAAAAAATTTCCAAAAAAATTTAAAATGTCAAAAAATAATAAAAATAAATTATAAAATTTAATAAATAATTATAAATTAAAAAATGAGGGAAAAAATTTGACAAAATTCTAGAAAAAAATTAAAATGATTTTAAAAAATGAAC